TCATAGTGGCACACAGTGACCGTGACCATAGACCAGTGGCAGCCTGACTGGCATTGTACTGCCTGTGAATGCCACAATCAGAGACTTGCCATAGAAAGTGTTAAATCTCTGAGTCACTCTCCAAGTTACTAGCACTACTAGTCACTAGTCATGCTCAACTTTTCCTTTGAAGCCTTTTTGATTTTAGACTCTGAACGCCAGAGCATTTTATAGGGCCAAAACAATATTCAAACTTGCTGTTGTATGTCTTTCCAGAAATGTTTTATGATCATGTTAGAAATTGTGACTGCAGGTTTGGTGGTACTCATTATATGGGATTTCTTCTTGTTGGCGCCAGTAGCTACATATTTTTTAGAATCTATCACCATCATGCAGAGAGTGATGAGAGGCCTATTGAATAACCCTTGTGATAATTTCAAGACAGTGGCACAGGGAAATAGATGTATGACTTACTGGTATGGGAAGATGCATATGGTAGATGAAGGAACATTCACTTAAGTGTTGCCAGTGAGTGTTCATGGACTTGATTGGTGAGGAAATTTCCTTTCTTTGCATTGATATGGTGGGATAGCTCGACCTCATGCATAAATCAGAAGTTTAAACAATGAGCTCCTTTGGCAAACGAGACAGTTGGTGCAAACACTGCATGGTACTGTCCAGGTGGTTATATGTAGGGGTGACCCAACACTTATTAAATTTATCAAGTGATTGACTCACAATAAATCGCCTTCCAGGAGAGTGACTACCTACATATCCACAATCCATATTTTTTTGCCCAGTACCAGCTGAACAAAAATAATACCTCCATCCAAGTCATGGTTGAAATTTTGTCATGATGGCAGGTTGATGGGCCAAAGCCCACCTAAGGAATTGTCGGGATGGACTTTTGAGGTAATAGGGTAGTCAAGTGTAGTTTTATTCCATCCATGAATGATGTCATAATTGAGTTATTGTCTGAGAAAATGGAGGTTTAGAATAAAGATGTAAAGGATGGACATGTGCTGACCGCAAGTGTTTTGGGATACCTGCTCCTGTATATGGAAGGTCGAGAATGAACTGTATTTGGTTCGGGTCATCTAAATTTCAGATGAACTCCATGTGTAATTTTGAGCATGTTCTTCAATGTCTGTTGGACAGTATGAGATTGACAGAGAAAAAATGTACCCACCATGTATAATGATATGCATATACTGTGAGAAACCATGATCTTCTAGGTACTCTACATCAGGTTTCACTGCCTGAGGTTGGTCGGCTCTGAATAATGATGCATTTGCCTTCATGCAGTGGTTGTGCAATGTGATTGGCTAATTCCTTTGGTCTGGAGGACCAATTACTGTGATATATGTGATGACTGTGGATGAGATTCTGGAAGCTGTGATAGATATCGGACTGTATCAGCGTCACCTTGACATATATTTTCTCCATCCTTCCAGATGCATGGTAGTATAGTGGTGAACCCACTAGACCATTTGATTGTCTCCAATGTGAAGACACTTGAATGCCGAGGATATCAGTTGCAAGGTCTTCGGAGTTGCTCAAAGAGGTTGAGGGGGCAGCAGAATTGGTTGGACAGAAAGAGGAATTGATGGAGGGACATTCTGTATAATCTCCACATCACAAGTAAGAGGGAGAAGGTTCAGTTGTAACTGAGAGATTGCTAAATTGATGTATGACTAGCCTCGTTCGGAGCTGGAAGATGTCAAGGATGGCACAGAGTCTGAAGGTTCTATATCAAGTGCTGCAACCTGACGGCACTTTGCAGTAGGTTGTCCATCGGTCTGTGCTAGCACCTGTTGTTTCAGGAGCTTCTGCTTCTCACATGAACATTGTTTGTGCTTATTCTGTTGTAACCTGAGGTGTTCCCTTTCTGCAGGGTCTTCATACATATATTGATCATTCTTATCCAACCTTTGTTGTCAATCATGATTGCACAGCCTGGAAAAATGTGGTCAGATGCACAAGAACTTCCCCCCATGATTTTCAATGATGTTCAAGCAAACTGTCTTATATGCTGGCTCCAATGACCACAATAATTCAGATTCAGATTTCAATACACCTAGTTGAATTGAAGAAAGTAGGTAGCCAGGACTCAGACAAGTACATCGTGACACCCATCTAGAATGAACCCCCCTCTATCATCTACTCCACCCCTGCAAGTCACTCGGTCGACACTAAGAAATGTTCTCAAAATACATGCAATGCGCTTCAAAAATTGTGCGCAACAATATATGAGGGTAGCTTTTGCCTTAATAAGTCACACAGGAAAGTGATGAGCTCTAGATAGTGCATGTGATTCCACTTGCAACCAAAGGCAGAATGGTATGCAGTTCCAAGACCTATGAAAAGCACATCCCTAATATTTCTTCGGCTCAAGTGCTATGAATATTGCCTTGGCTTAGAATACAAAAAAATGCACATTAACAACTGGTCAAATTTATTCAATCATACGATACACCGCAACATCCTTTGTGAGATTGTAGCATTGACATTAGTCTGCAGTCACCCTACTTGGCATTCACATATTGATAAGAAAGCTTGGTTTCTACTGCCGGATAACAAACATTAGGTGGTTATCAAATGGAGACAAAATCCCAACTCAACAAAAGGCATCAAACCCCTCTGGTCAAAGGTATTTACAATCATGTCGCTCATGATATCCCCAATATTTACATTTCTGCAATGGCAGCTCGAGACCCTAACAAAATACACCTTTATACCAGTATCCTTCAAGGGGCCCATCACACACTACCCTAAGATAGAACTGAATTCTTATAAATATTCTTCAAGGATAGTAACCTCCCATTGCTCAAGTGTCACATCCTCCTTCCATATGCAGTAATCAATGCAGCGCAGAAATTGTGCAGAGATTAGGTCGATGTGATCGCTCGTGGCCTTCACACAGAGCAGACAGCAGACTTCGAGGAACTGAAACATGGACTCACCATCTTGTGTAATATTCAGGACCTTTTTGAGGGTGCTCGAGACGCAGCAAAGGCTTGGAGGAAGCCAGCAGAGGGTAGTAGGAAGAAAAAACATGGTGCCTTTGTGGTCTGGCTTATCTGTTTTACATTTGTTAACCATACTTTGCCCACATCCCAGAGTCCACTCCTGCCTCTTTGGCAACTTCTGGACTCTAGGTACTGTATACTCTCACTACACTTCATATATTGGCAACTTACTCTGGACTCTAGTCCTAGTTTTCATTCACTCAGTAGCCTCTAGAAGTGTGTCCCATCAAGTTCCCATTGCAACAAGAACTATGGTAAGAATTTGGCTGTTGGTGAGTTCCTCGAGCTGTGCCCGGTGAGGCCACGGCAAATAATGTGTTCTTGGGAATATGAATGAGGATGATGAGCAGGGGCATGACAGTCATACTGTGATGAAGGGTAGTCTCTACAGTGGTACAAAAAAGTGTCCCGATGTTTGTCCAGTTTCAAGTAATTGCATGATGGTGAGTCAAGGTGTGCGAATCTGATGTGGCAGTGCAGACACATTTGATAGTAATAGTCACAATTGTAGAATAATCATATCTCCGCTCTGTAAGCTCCATTTCCCATGCCACATAGCTCAGATTCAGGCCAGAAGGTATTACTACCAAATGTGTCTGCACTGCCACATCAGATTCACACACCTTGACTCACCATCATGCAATTACTTGAAACTGGACAAACATTAGAACATTTTTTTGAGCCACTGCATATGATGATGGTTTGTAGTGGGGAGATGGTGGTTGGTGAGATGGATAATAAGGTGATAAATGGGCAGGAGGGGATAGTGAACAACATGACCGCTGTGCAACAGGGGGTGCACAGTACGTGACGAGAGCAGGATTTCTGTGATTGATAGATGGTGCATTTGAATCAGGGTTAACTTCACCTGGTTCAATATCAATGTCCAAGCTGTCATCCTCAATAATTTGGTGCACCAAAGCTACCTTCTGATGTTCCTGTTGAATGTGTCCATGTTCGATATGTGCCTGTTCTAGGAGCAGCAACACTGCTGTTGAAGATGTACCTGTTGGAGGTGGGTTAGTTTGAGAGGCACCTGATCAATGTGTTGTTGCTCAATAAATGCCTGTTCAATGTATTCAAGAGCCTTCAAGAGCCTTCAGCTTCTCCAACTCCAACTCCTTCTCCTCCTGCTTGTGCATCTCCTTCTGTGTTTCAAGCTGTGCAACCTCTGCTGCTTGTGAATCTTGTGTATCTTAAAAACCTTTATGAGCAGCTGTGTGCTTTTCTTATTCTGCTCCTCCAAATCAGTTTAAACCTTTTGGGAACTTGCACAACAATATCAGAAGAGTAGGAGGTGGGCCACTACTGTATCAGCTATAGACATGTTGTCGCTTCCTTGTTCTGGTACTGCATTCATATGATCACAAGTGAGTCACTCAAGCCATTTTGCTCATGTGGATGCAGGTTTGGAATGCCAAGGGGATCACCAAAGGTATTATGAACAATCATATTGATGGCAAACATTGCACAGGAGCATGAATCTCACTGAATGGTGTGGGGAAAGGTATTTCCTTGGTCTTCAAATGGGCCATCAAAACACACAGTGATCCACCACTGTATCTTTGTAATGAAGCCTCCAAGTTTCCCTGTCCACACTGATCAATATTATCAGTGGATTGCCGCCCATTAATATCTATGCTTGGAGCCGCCTGTTCATATATATACTCAGATCGATCCATTGCTTCATGCCCTTTCCCTCACCTTCTTGAAACACCACAACTTTCCATCTTGTTATGCAATTCAATTCAATAGTGGACCACACTACCTTTCGTCCCCCAATTTGTGACATTTGTACAAAGTTTGCAAATGTGTTGTCATCTTGTGTACTACTATCAATGAAATCCGTGTTTCATGTTTCTTTTGACCACCATCTATGACTAACAGCGCAAGGGCAAAACAGCTGTCCCCAAGCCAGCTCGAGGATCTGGCCTCAACCCCTCCAGTTTACCACTAGCTAATCAATTTTATTTTCCAGCTGAACAACCGCAAATGCCAGGGTTCAACTTCAACCTGTGTGAACAGAGGGTAACAGGTACAATTCGAGCCGGCCATCACCCACGTTCGCTAACGATGTCACCCAGATGCCGACCAGTTGTTGCTCGACAACGCTGGTCCATCGTACTCTGCACCCCAGGGCCAGCCAGCATACAATAACAACACTAGCCCATCCTACTCCGCACCCCAGGACCAGCTGGCGTACAATGATGGACAATCTTATGGGGGGGCAGGTACACAATCTTACTCTTTCATTATCCACTGGTCGCTAACGATATCACACAGACTCACAGAGCCAAGACCCGTCGTTCTATGACGACATGGGTCCATCCCATGACCACAACCTGTCGTTCTCCGACCACCCACCTTACGATTTCAATCTGGATTTCGAGTACGAGGATGAAGACCTCGACACAGGTGCTGGTCCATCAGATGCAGGTCCATCTGGATCTGGTGGACACAGCTCCCAAACTAATAGTGACAACACGGACACAGCACGACCCATGCCGGTATGGGTGCACTAAGCACCGGACCACAGCATTAGCCTAGTAAACCACGGTAGCGGTCTCGTGCCATCGAATTGGGATATGATGCTGATCTGCTGAGGAGAAATACCTTGTTCAGAGGTTGTCCACATGTGTGCTCTCTCATTTGTTGTCTTAATTTAATTCTAACTTTAAGGCAGACAGGGGGCTCAGCGAGAACGACGAAAAAACGAGTGTCGAGATGCTCGATGCCTGGAACACTGTACATCTTACCACAACCCCTCACTCAATGCAATGAATCGCCTCCGCTGGTACTCGCACCTCCCCCAGCAGCATCCAATCATCACGCTGTCGAAAGAAGAGATCACGGAAGCCGTCAAAAAGGGGAAACTCCTCATTATATGGGAGCTGTTCTCGAAGAATGCGCTGGGTTTGACCAGCAAACAAAGGAGAAGCCTCACTGAGCGGGCCATCAACAAATCAATTTGTGCTTGTCACGACCCAAATGGTACATGTTTTTGTAAATTATCTAACTTCGTTTACTAATCTATCTTCGTAGCACCGTTCACGAGGTTCATCAACAAGTCTCACCTTCGCAAAGTGGTGAACATGTTCTCTTCCACACATGGGAAGATGATCTTGTTCGCGTGAGACAGCGTTTTTGTGGGGTTTGAGCTTTTCCCCAACATACATAGCCCTCAAACAGCCGATGTTTTTCGCATCACGAGAGTGAACACACTCATTCGCGGTGTCGACCCATTGCTTTTCATGCACAAGTACTCAATTGATGAGCCACGTGGAGCACACTATCTAACCGCACTACTTTTACTCAGGTGTGGTTGTGGAATGGCTGTGTCACTATCCACGCCAAGTTCCAAAACCCCTTTATCATGGCCCTTGTTATCCAATTCATTTGGTCCAGAGGACGCCAATCATTTCTCGGTCTTTCGCCAATCAAAGCCTTGAAGCACATCATCGTGTTGAGTGGCGCAGCCACTTACTGCGCATTGGAGGAGCAAGGGCGGGAAAAATTTGAGGTCACATCTTTCAGCGAAATGTTGCACGGCCCCAAATTTAAGGAAATACTTAGCACGTTTAAGGGTCTTAGCAACAAGGAGAAAGCTGACCTCAAGCTCTACTGGCAGTACATATTGGACATTGGACCATCACAGGCTCGACATGGTGAGGTGGCATTGGTGTCCGAGTCGAGTGATTTGTTCTAGTATAGATCACGCACACAATGATTATCAGACTAGCTAGAGATAATGTACTACTAGTACAATTAGATTGTTCATAATTGGCGAGATGACGACACATCTTGCATATATTTTCGTGTGAATGGTGTAAGGGTCCAACATAACTAAAAAGAGTGTCGCAAATGGTGTCAGGGTGCAATTTGACCCAAAACAAGTGTTTATGAACATCAACCTGAGCTAACCCAAATGAAATTGCTCACAAGCACAGTGTGAGCACCTCTGCATGCAACATTTTGCGTTTTTAGATGTACTTTGTATAGTTCTATTTTCTGAGTATTAAGTATAATTAGATTTTTGGCATACCTTCAAAATACAAATAATTCAATCAAAGTAGTTGATTTCCTGGAATTCCCTTGATTTTGACGTGAGTTTGTACTTTTTTTGAAATTTCCAAAGGAGGTTTTCCCTGATGTTTTTCACATAGAATTAATAATTCTCAATATGCCTAGGATTCACAACAACTCAAATCTCAATATTTGTCCAGATTATGCTGCACCTCCGTACGCTAACACTTGGGTGTAACTAATTATTGAACATGTCAATGAGGAACAAGCCATCAACTTCCCCAGGAATATATGGGAAGCATTGAACAATGTAGAGAAGGGTCAATGGCAGGAGCAAGTTGAGAACGACAGAGAACAGCGTGAGCATCTCCGTCAACTGCAGCAGGAGCAGCAGGATGGACACACCAGGTAACCAACCTCAGAACGATAAATTCTTAGAAAGCTATATCTGATCTAAAATTTGCATAATATGTATCAGAATTGTACACCAAAAAAGAAAGCTTTGAATACCTAGACTTACTTGATGGAGTCCGCCAACTACACAACAATTTTGTTTTGACAATTTAGTTGCAATTACCTGTGACTTATGGCCATGGTGGCACATATTGTAGTGCTCACCAGCTGCTGCAAAGTTGTTGAGAGTGACCACTGTTGCCTAGATGAGGACTGCTGGTATTGCACTACAATTTTGCTCTGCCTTGGTCGTGGGATGTAACCTTCGGCTATTTTTTACTTAATTCACAATTTCTGAACAGATGCCAGTGTCAGATAAAAGTTCATGTGGCCGGATTGTGTTGGATCAACACTACCAACAGTGCAAGGGTGCTGACTATCTACAATAGACTACAATGTGGTACCATTCTGTAACAGCATGGTTGTCTTTTGCAAGCCAAGCTTACGATTGCACGCCCCAGCAGGGCTTCCTTAACATCGGTAGTGTCCCCAATGGGTATCTGTCTGATGTGCAGTCTCCAGAACATAAGGCTATGTGAGAAATGTACTAACGGAAATGAACATACTGCGGACGATCAAGAATGGAGCCGGATATTAAATGGAACAAAGGGAACAAGTTAAAGGAATCAGAAATGAATAGACTAACAGAAGGATCAGAATGGAACCAGATATTAACTGTCAGAAGGATCCAGGCATATAGGGGCAGAAAGAAGTGCATATGAATGGGGACTCAGGGGAAATGAATTCTAGACCGGACCCAAGGAACCGGGTGAACCGGACTGAACAAGAAGGTTCGGGTACATGATATGACAGAAGGAGGTGTTTGACAGTTTGCCAATGAACTATGCCAGGGTTCAAGTTGAATCTGGCAAGGGTACCAACAGTACAGACAATGTCAGGTCCCTCCGTGGTTCTGCAAGCTTGATGGTGCGCTGCATTTCTTAGCTCATCTCTCTCCAGAATAAAAGGATCAGACTCACCGTGTAGTAAGTCTCTCAGGACACACAACAATTCCAAAAGGTTGCCAAACCAATAGATAGCACAGGATATAGGTACATCCTGATGTGGCATTGAGTTGTATGGGGATCTTCAAGAGCTGAGCTATCCCTCTGGGATACAGGTAAAGGTTATATTATACATGCGGCAGGTTTTGAAAGTTCCAAAACATGTGTGCCCCATCAAGAACAAGTGTAAAGTGTATTGTCCAGAAAAATGACTTCAAACTCATCCTCAGGTAAAGTCAGGGAATCAGGTACAAGGACAGGGTTTTCATCAAGACACCAAGGAATGCCTTGGACACCCTTTGCATGAAGTAGCTGTAATATCATACTGTTGCTTAAATCCTGGAGATGGGCTATCTATGAGAAGAAGCAGAGCTATTTCACATGCAGACAATTCATGCGGAACATACATCAGATACTCCCACACTCTCCCAGATCCCCCCTACTGCCAGGACGACAGAAGTCATAGCCATCAACCTACCCCAGCCTCTTGTATCATTCAACCTCTTCCATCACATCACCTTTGCCCGCCCATACTGCTACTGCAGTGCATGTTTCCTGACAACTTCATTTTCCCTCTAATTCTTTGTGTTACAGACAGGTCTGCTACTTCCACATCAAACCACAAATGCTTGCTGTTAATACTGTGCTTGACAGGCAGATCCAGAGGGCTTGGCTTCAGCTTGTACACTGCACCCAGATGAAAAGGTTAAACTGACAAGCACAAAGGAAAACGATACAGAAATGATTGAGAATGAATAAGGAAATGAAGTGTTGAGTGGATCCGGGCATAGAGGTTATGATCTAGAATGAATCAAGGACTATATAAATAGATTAAGAAGCAGGATCGAAATAAGGAATGGATCCAAGGGAACAGCTGTAGATCAGATCAGGGATAAGGTTCAGGAAACACAGGATATGACATTTGCCCTCTATATTATCCAACCAATGGACCATAGAAACAGTTACTCCAATCAAAGGTAAATGACTTCATCTAATGTGCCCAATTTGACAGCCCTGCGTCATGTGGGTACAGAATCTAATTTTGCATTGTTTATCTCCACCCTTGTTGGCACAGCTATGGAAATTATCCAGGCTGACTTCTCCCAAGCTTGGTGATGTGGTACTGAGAATGTTTAAACTAGGAAGGAAGGCTCTCTTATTAATTGTAATCGTAAACTGAACATTATTGTCCTTAATAGAGAGGCTGAGGTAGATTGGTGGAATATAGTTTCTGTGATAGAGATGAAGAACAGCATGAATGCTCAGGACAGGCAAGCCTAGGCCTGACTGGCTGAATGTGCAAAGACCTTGTTTAGTATTCAGCATGACCTACAGTACATCTTCTCTGCTGTCACTGCTAACATGTCTTATTGATCTCCTGTTAGCTAAGATATCCTGATGTGTATTAAGAGGGATAAGTTTAGCTATTTGGCATTTGATGACAAAGAAAAACTGCATCCACAGCAGTGGATATCTGGGGCTCAGGCTGTCTGACCCCACAAGCAGAGGGTATGTAGTTTAATAACCAATCCTCACATGGTTGCCAGCTGTTTCAACAATATAAAAAAGCTGATAAACATGCAGGCCGTGGTATCTGGATCACAGCTTGTTAATCATTGCAATCAATCTTTAGATATTATAGTTGACCAAATCTTTGTACCTCACAGATCTGATGTCCTTTTCACCACCAACATACTATCTATTATCTTTTCAAATGGAAAGCAGGAATAATTATTGATCATCTTGAGTGACTAAATGTGTTTGTTTGGCTTCTACCTGTCAGACTCCTAGGCCCAAACCACTGCATGGTCTCTAGTTACCTTGCTTGATAAGGTTTATGTCATCTCATTAGTAGGTCAAAAATTTGCTGTCATTTTTGGTTGTGGTTTGTGATTGGTGGAAAACCACATTAGTGCAAGCATCTCGCATCTCAAACCCTAAATTTAGTATCACAGTGCAACACATAGTGTACACATTTATTCTTGCTTTCAACATATATTCATAATTCAGGTCTCTATTTTGTGAGTTGTTTTATGAGTCACTTTTCACCATGAATAGACTGTAACCAACAGTATTCTGCCTTTTTCCGCAGGCTGCTCACTGACATTATATAAATGTCTGAGTCAATACTGGCTTAGCTTGTGGTGAGGAAAACTTTCATAAAACAAGTCTATTAGGATTTGTAATTTTCCTCCTTGTGCATGCCAAATAGCAGCCTCATGGTATATGCTATCAAAGAGGTAAGAATAAGAAAGCCTACTGGTGCCCCAACTTTAAGTTCCAGTGATGGTCCACTCCCCAAAAATGCCAACCATTTTATATTCTCTTGCTCTGATTCAACTCTGGATTGCTAATCCAGTACTGTCATGATCTAATCTAGTATGGCAGTCTGTGACACATGTACTTGGAAAACTGTGGGCATACAACCATGGCTAGGATGTGACCGCTGCAGCAAGTCATTGTAATGTTACTGGATGGACCATGAGCAAGGCTCAGGCAGTCGAAGCTTTCATCAACAACTGCAAAATGACTGAGAACCCTGCTGAACATTATGCTCTAAAATGATAAGATAATGACCATCAAGGTCGTTGTTTATGGAATACTTGGGTTAAGACTTCATGAGCCAAATGGAATATCAACAAATTAGTCAATGATATCTTCAGAGACTGTGGTTGTGCACACCACAATGTTATGGCCAGGTTGAATTGCAAGACCACAGATGATGTAAGTTATGTACCAATCTATCTATCTCATCATATGATATAGCCATGTGCTTAGTTTCCAATCATGGAAGCTGCACAGGTGAAGCAGATCGTTTCCATCAAACTGGCTGATATATTGTTTGGTAACAATGTGTCCTTCCTTGTAGTGTCCATCATGAAGTTTGTAAGTACAGTACTGGTAATCGACATGGAGTAGGTACTGGAAGGTTATCAAAAGGCAGGGCAACAGTATTGACAAGAAGGTTAGGAAAGTTGAAGAGCGATGGCTAGGTAACCCACACTAGTCAGTGAGCTATGGTGGGAGCTAAGCATATGGCAGTCATTATGGCTGCAAATGTAAAACCCACCATATCCAGCATCCTGACATACATGAAGAAACTGGAGAGCTTTGTCACACTTCTTAGCATGTTCAAAGACCAAAGAGACAGCCAAGAACCTTGATGTGTGTTGTGAACAGAATCAATAGCAAGTTAGTGACTGGAATTTGACTGACACATATACAATGACTGTGTCAAACATCATGGTTAATTGTGAAGAAGTGATGTCATGACGAGGTGAAGAGGTTAGAAATTAAAAGATAGAGAGCCATGTTACTTTAACAGCACCCTATACACTATCTCCAATCACAGAAGGGGATAAACAGTACAATATCGATGTTTTCCCTGAATGACCCAGAATATCTACTCCTGAACTTTTGGACTATTCACCACACCAGTCATAGCACCCATTCCTACACCCACTCCTACTGTGATGCCATCAGCAGACATGTGCTAGATGGAATGCTAGACAGACTCCATACTATGCAACACCTCTTGGGGTTGAAACCCAAAACTATGCTCTCGATGGGGCTTCCCTTGAGCCAGACCTACAAACATCATGTTTCTGCATCCAGATGTTTCGCTATAACTGTGTATGTTGCACCTTTAGCTACATCTCGCATCGCTACATGGCCAGGTAGCCATAGTCCAAACCACCGATGAGCATTTGGCGGGCATAACCACCCAGAGTACTCAGAGCGAGCTTGCGGCAATCAATATTGAATGGCAATGGAAATGGCGGGAATGGATTGGACGGCTGGACGAAATGTGGGTTTACCATCAGTTCCATAATGGTAATGTGGTATGAAGGCGAGATGTACAGTCACCATCTCAGAGCTCGAATTGCCCGTCATCATTGGATCAGTCGTGTCATTGCTCGTACTTGGTTTCTCTGGTGCATTGGGTGCGTCAATATGGACATTGACTGAATGTAGGAAATGCTGAATGTCTTCTCCACCGCCGCAGCCTTGCACTGCCCCGCAGAAATCGTGGTCCTTGCATTGCACGTTGTGATATGAAACCCAATCAACTGTCTCACATATTATTTCCAGGTAGATATAAAAAAGGTAAGCACGTACAAAATATGAATATGTCTTGACACATTCCATTTTGCAGGGCTTCGAAGGTGATCCCATGGGATTTCTCCAAGGACTTGCGACTCTGAGCATGAAACCCTCCAACTGTGTGGTCCAGCCACATAAAATAATCCATCGCTGGAGATCTAAAGTCACCATGCGCCGAATCTGGGGATGCAGAAGCATCATGCAGAAAGGCGATCCGCACATCATTCAAATATTCCATGACCGATGCACATGTGTTCCACATGTGTTTTGGTTGAGTTATTGAGGTGTGCTACAACCTTCCTGTATATCCCAAATTTCTTGTTCAGAGCATGAAGTGGTAAACGATAGTGTGCAGCGATTTGGCAACCCTTGGGTGACTGTCCAGATACATTGAGAGAACACTCCCCTTCGACATCTTGAATAGTCCTTGGGCCTTCATCAACCGACCAATATCCTGTGCAGTCCATTGACGAACACGGCATGATGGATTCATCAAGGGCTATAACTGCAGTCCTTGGGCGGGCGTAAATGTGAGATGAATGATTTTTTTTTGTTCAGCAAAGCTACATGACGATGATCCGATACACTACACTCCACCACATGAGTTACATTACGATATATTCAGGGGAGGCTACCTTCTATCCACAAACAACAGTCCGATATAATCGGAACCGGTACAGTGTGTGTACCCATTAGTACAGTTGTTTGTTGTTCCGAGTTCGTGCCATCCGTAATATGACATGCAGGGCAGCCGGGCATCGATATATCCTACTTTAGGAAGATGTCTGAATGGGGCTGATCGACATGATTGCTTTACTTGGTCAGGAGTGTTGTAAGCTCTACACCAACTGACTACAACGGGGTAGGATACGGAAACTAAATAGAGTGTATGACCAACTGTAGTGAAGAATCTTGCCATGCTGCCACGATCCACTAAAATGTCCTGGCATTTGGCTATCATCTCTGCCATCCCAAAAAGCTCAAAGAACTCCTCGTCACTTCGTGCGGTGATCACTAAGCTATTGTCTACCAGATTCTCCAAAGACTCATTATGATCAAGTCCTTGAACTTCTCAAAACCGCATAGCGATATGGCTAGGCAGCCACTGTCCAAAGCCGCCAATGAGAATCTGGCGAGCATAACCGCCGAGCGTGCTGAGGGAGAGCCTGCGTAAATCATTATCAAATGGAAGTGGAAATTGTGGAAATGGATTCAATGGCTTGTGGAGATGTATGAATATTGTCTAACACTGAATCGCAGTCAGGGGACACGTACAAGATTGTCAGAGGTTGGTTCGGACACTATTAGAGTCAATTCATGATCCACATCCATGGCACTAGTGGGTTCGGCAGTAATCTCTGTCGCCTTCTGCTTGGAAGCGACGATAGACGCATCAATTATGTCTATTAGATTCTGATCATCTTCACCACCGCCGGAGCTCTGTATTGCACCACAAAAGTCATAATACTTGCACTTTTCTTGGTGATAGGATTTCCAATCAACTGAACTGCATATGAGGGCCGAGGATGGAACAAATATGCTACAGAACTCACTAACAAAAGAATGTCAGAACACGCCCTATTTTGTAAGGCTTCGAAGGTAACGCGATGTTCTTCTTCCAGGGCCTCACGACACTGTGCGTGAAATACACCGCTCTTGTGATCCAACCAGAGGTAGTAATCAAGTACTGGAGATCTCAAGTCGTCGTGTAGCGCATCTGTGGATCCACCAGCATCCTGCACAAATGCGATGCGGACGTTGTGGAGATACTCCATGACTGATGCATACATATCTAGCATGTGAGAAGAATAAATGTCTGACAAAGTTTGTAGGTGGGCCACGATCTTTCGGTAGATTCCAATTTTTTTGTTGAGCGAATAAAGGGGTAGACGATAGTGGGGAGCGATTTGGTAACTCTTGCGTGAATGTCCGGAGACCCTCAGAGAACACTCTCCATCGACATCTTGGATCGTCCCTTTGGCTCTCACCAACTGATTGATATCCTGCGCATTCCAATGACGGAGCTTGCATGAAGGTTGCATGATGGGATCAATGTGTGTGTTTAGGTGTGAATTTCAATATGAGCTTTGTGATTTTATTTTGTGAATTCTCAGCTGGGCGGCCCTGTCTTATAACATTGCTCCGAGTCATCACAAGACCTTTGAATTAAATCAAACTCTCAGATCTAAATGGCACTAACAATTTGAATAACATTGACATTGAATGCGGGTTAGATCCACTAAAATTGGAACTGGTGTTCTAACCCACCCTTGGCCATGATGTAAGGTGTGCATCAGGGTTGGATTGTGCATAAGAATATTGTCTTTAGGGAGAGCGGATGTTAAATTCAGGCAACCAATCGATTGACTGCAAGACAACATCTACGAAGCCACCTATGTTCACCTCCAGACCTGAGTGATTTGTTATATATGCACTATATAACCATCATTGTACAAACTGGGCAGTGGTATCGGGGAACAACACCGTCAACCGATGGGAGCGCTGTCAGCTGCATGGAATCCTTCCATCCCTCAGGGAGTCTACCCAGCTTCGTCGCCTGTTCCAACAGGGCTTGTATGTGCACTAATATAACACCCACCGTCACTGACAATTCCAAGCAGACCTCCTCGGCGAATTGGCGTCGTCAAAAGTGCGAGAAACTCGTCATCAAATTCTACAGCATCATAGATGGATGGCAGGCCTGCCTTTGTCCTTTGGACCACCTTCTCTCCTGAGGCAGCAATGCATGCATCATTGAACCACCAGATGGCATGTCCTGCAGTATCGCTGGGGGTTCTTTGGAGAGGAGAATGCGGGATCACATCCATTGCAACTGCATCGCGTGGACGTCTGCGTGTTCTGTGGATCGGTCGATGATGAGAACGTATTTGAACACATCAAATTTAACATACACTAATGTTCACTCCCTCCAGGTATAGCACATTTTTACGGCCTATGAAGTTCATTGCCATATTCCACCGATGATAGAGAGTCTTCGCTGGGATTTAAGGTTGCGCTAAATTACCCTCATCATACCACACGATTGTCGCATGATCTGCCGTTATTTCACACACACCAAAGAAACGACCAACTTAATTGTGCCCATCCATTATTTCATGGAACTTACCCTCCACGCATAACATGTGAATAACAGACTTGTGGTCACTGAGAACAAGCTCATACTCACCAACGCAAGCTGCAAGGCTGAAGTATTAAATTGGTCAGTACCATTGCAGCACTCGTGAAATGACCAGCGTACTCAACACCTTCATCCTCCAAGTCCAGCTGCCTATAATACCACTGGATATCACTTCGACATGATAGGTGAATGAGCATATTATATTTAACTAGAATGATGAGTGCGGTCACCTGTCTCTTTTTGTTGGCCTTTAAGTAGATCTGATTGACCTTCCCATACCAGTAGGACATGATCGGAAGACTTCCATCTTCTATTGGTACCGACCGTTCATGAAGCGGAAAGATTGTGACGCTGAAGTATTCATGTCAGTGTTGCCAAGGACACATAAAGACATGCTCCTACTCGTCCCCAACCCTAATAATCAAACAACAATGATTGTCAACATCATCGGAGTGATCATGAGCATCATAGACCCCTGTGAGTTATATAGATACATGTTGTCAAAATGAGGGATTGGCAAAACACCACTATGAGCTGCAATTGTACATACATTCCAAGGATGTACATCGCTTCAGTTTGTGAAGCTGAGGGTGACTAGTGGGCATGGCAGGCAATGTTCGCCTATCATCTGCAAAAGAGGCACTGCTGATAATTGATGGTCGGGTGGACATGATGGTTCGGCAAAAAAACTAAGAGAAAATAAAAGGTAGGATCAATGGAAGAAGAAACGATTAACCTACCATCAGAGCAATTACATATCTTGTACACATACCAGCCAGACGGGCGGATCAAGAACAAGGCTAGACACAACAAAAGCTCCGGTATCATAACAGCGCACGCGGCAATACATAATGCAATGTCATTACCTGGTCCGCAGTTTAATGAAGGTGAAATAAATTGTATTTCCTGGAGGCCATGAGGTCGGGGACAATGACTAGACTGGTTATAACACGTAAATGTGAGGGTAGCGGTAGGAGAATATCATCATTACTACATTAGCCTGAGCAGAGTTATCACTCAAGCACAGCAAGTACCATTTCATGGAGCAAGACGATTCCTTCGATATTTTGCAGGAAATACAGAGGTCGAAGATCCTGGAATGGGACCCAAAGGGTTCGAGGATCTTAGGGACTCCTGGACATGCAGCCGAGAATGCATCTGAGGATGCATGTCATATCGACTATGATAATATCGGAGCACTGTTGACAGCCATTGACAACTGCAAATTGTGGATGAAGTCAATGATCACATTCAAACACATAAGCGACAGCGAGGCAGAGACGATGAATACAGACCTTCGCCACCTCCACTAACACTGGAGGTTCGTTCACCCGCACTTGAAGCCCGACCACCTATAATATCTGAATCAACGGTGGAGGAAATTGCCTGTGAGTTTACAATGATGTAGATTTAATCTGAAAAGCTCATATCTAACAATGTCAGGCCGCGCAATGGCTCGACCAGTTGTTTGGACATCAGCCTGGCTGAGCTGGCGAACCCTTGCACTAAAGGAATGGCTTGAGGCAACGGTAGCAAACTTCTACCTGATACGAGGGGTAATAGCATTGCGTGTGCGCGATCCAGCTAGTTCTTTGTTCGATTTGAAAAGTTGTGTGAGCTTCGCCTTTCTCTCTGCAGGTAGGACTGTGTGCCAAGGGTATCCTCACCTTCCCCATAATCATCCTCCGCATCATCATTATTACCTGAGTTGTCACTGTGATTCTTGGCATGGTGCGAGGGTTCATCGCCATCCTGGTTTTCAATTGGGCATTGGCATGTTGAGCAGGTAGCACTGACAACAGTCAATTTCTGTAGGACCTCAAGGCTATCATCTGCGTGCCAGTGATCTGGCGGGTTGTCCAGTAGCATGAGATAGTCGCTGCAGCTCATCTTGATACGCCCAGCGACTATGCGTAACATTTCTATGCGCAATCTGTGCCCACATTGCACATGAAATGACGGTAGGCGACCGTGCTCATCCATTCCTGAGATCAGGGCTTGCGCCAGCACGGAGCATGCTATGGGACCGCAGTCCACTCCATTTTGGGTCCAATCCCTAGGTCACACTGACACATCTGCAATATTCCCTTGGCTCCAGCCATGAAGAGCCGCAATTCTTCTCCAATATTCAATGTTGAGAATAGTGGACTATGAACGCAACAGGGACCACAGGACATGGGCCCTCACGAGGCACAAAATGGTTTGTCCTGAAGGCCTCTACTTCTTCATCATCCATGCTGTTTGCCCTTGCAGCATACAGGTCGACATATCTCATTTGTGCTCTGGTATGCATCTGATACCACATATTGCACACACCTCCGCTTTGTCTCCATTGCTTGTCTTTGTGTCTCCATCCATCCATTTCTCCATCCATCCAATTGATTGATTGTCAGTGTTGCATTCTGGTGCTTTTCATACAAGTATTTTTCCTTTTCCATGTGTACAATTGTCAGTGTTGTATTCCGGTGCTTTTCTTGCAAGTCTTTTGTCAATAGGTTTATCTCAGTGCCGATTCTGCCAGGTTAAATATGGTCAGCTTTTCACAGGTATCTCAAAGTCAATCATGGATGTAAGTGTTGAAGTCCAGTGGAGTCTATGTTCGCTGATGCTGACTCAGTTTGCCAACAAATTTACTCTTACTGCCCACACCAAGGCAGTCAATGTATTGGCTGTGAGTATGCATGGAGCATGGCTCCTTACTGGAGGTATTTAAACATCCGATTTCTTTGCTCGCTCATGCTCACAGCTGAGACAGGCAACAATAGTAGAGTCGTGGTATGGAACCTGTCATCCGGTGAAATGATTTCTTGAATCATTTCACCAGCTGCAGGATATATTAGTGCGATCACTTGGATTGATATGGGCGATTGTGGAGAGACGACCTTTGCATTCGGGGCATCAGATGGCAACATCCAAATCTATGAAAGAATCAATGATGTAGGTGTGATGGTAATGGTAGTAGTGTCTTTAGGTTGCTGATAATGCTCCATCTCATTAGGCACTTTTTGAATTTTGCAGTACTACCATCAGTCACTCGGGTCTGGTAGAGTCGCTTGCTTAGGATCCTGTCCATCATCGACTAGCGAGTGCTGGTGACGGTCAGCCCCACGTTTGGAACTTCACACCAGACCGTACATTGTCAAATCAGTACTTGTGCTATATTGATTTTGTGTTAGAAACCCTCATTTCCATCACCTCGAAGCTCAAGAAGCAGCCGCACGTGGCATGCATGGTACACTTCTACGACAACAGTGCTTTGCTACTAGTATCATTTCTGGAAAGCGGTGAAATGTACGTGTACCCCAACAATTTTGATTTTATTCTGACCGTGATTCCAGTTTCTGCTATTCCATCCTCAGAGTCTTCACTGGTCTCTTGGAGGTAAGTGTTTCCTTCCTTTTCACTCCCTTCTGTCACTCAACTATGTCTTTCAATGAGTCAAAGACTTCTCCTAAATCATGCTCCTGTAAGATCCTCTGATAGTCTTCCCACATCTTCATCCCCAACAATTTTATCATGATTGGGCTGATCATCATCATACACATCATTGGGTTGCCCTTGATTGGTATTGGTGAGGTTGTCATTGAAGACAGCCCTCTGAGGCAGAGGCCCTTCACCTGGGTCCTGTCACAGCGGCTGGCGCTGCTAGCATCCTGTTTCAGCCCCTGTTACAGTTCCAATTCAACACCCCAACTTCACAGTAGGCAGTCAACTTCCATAAAGTGAACATGTCTGGTACTCAAAGAGGCCAGTATGATCAAAATTTGGATGCAGGGCATGTGGTGGTCTATCATTATCACTAACTAGGTAGCTTGAACGACCATCCTGAGCAGGATTTGCTAGCTGCATCCTTCTCCACCCCAAGTCATAATATGTTCTTAAATTCAAACTTCTTCAACTAGCCTGATGTGCAGGTGATCAGCACCATCTCAGATCAACGAAACTGGCAAAAACTTGCCAACTCTAATGTTGATACCTGCATGAGCTATTACAACAATTACATGTACTCTGGTTGACTTCATGTACAGTGCTTTACACAGCCTGATCTACATCATACCAGCATGCTGACTTTGCATTCCAATCTGCTGATGGTGTTTCTATGAAGCCTACTTGATGCCCCTTCGTATCACCCTTGATGGGTTGAAGAAGTTCAACATTAGTCATTGTGACCATATGTTCACATAAATCAGTCATAATTCCCAACAGTCTACTCAGTCCAGACAATGCAGGTACACTATACATCGTTGAAGTGTGTCAACAGTGATGGTATTTAAGACATCAACAAAATGTGCGGGGGATGCAACAATTGGGAGTGGTCTTGAGATCACCATGACGAAGCGATTCATATAATGGGGATGGAGTTTGAATTTAGAGATACTGGCAAGCAGGATGAACCAAATCAGGGTTGCTTGTGCATTGTCAGATAGCCCTTGGTAGCAACCCCCTGGAACAGAGGTGTTTTGTGATCGGTGGAGAGATCAGATTGGGTGATCTCAACTTCTGTGAGGACGTCTTTCCACGCCTTTTGCGAGAAATCAAGCTCCCTGAGGTTGTAATCCAGGAGGACAAGATCTGGCTTCCACAAATCTGCAGGGTCTGGAACAGGATTGAAAGCGAACTCAGAAGACCAGTACCGTGAAGGGCAAACTGTACAAGCACTGTGATGACAAGGGCCCAGCTTGCCACCCCATCCATTATTATCCCTATTCCAAGCAACAATCTCTTTGTCAGTCTGCTAGAGAGGTCGCGACACAGAAGACAAAGACACCGACCCCTCTCAATGGCGAAGTGGATCGTCCACACAAGGTGTTGGCGGTCATCATCAGAAAACAAGTTGAGTCATGGACTCGAAGGTGCTCGAGCATCACTCGGATCACCAATCTTTCTAATCCAGATGATATGTTGAGTTGGGTGCTATGAGACGGTCCAAACTGTGGTTCTAGACTGGAGCACACCTGCATCAAATTCGCTTGGTTGCTGTTCGTTCGAATCGACTTGTAGTATAGGTTGTAGGTGCTCCTGAATGTGATGTGCAATCTGCTGGGATCTCTCCTGTTGCATCTTGGTCTGCACCACTCCATATCTAGATAGCATGTTGTGATGATGTATCTCTCCTCTTTTGTAGCCTCCTGCTCCAAATGGTGCTTCCAGTGCATCTAAGCACCACACTCCTATGAGAAAGATGACCCACACAGGTCCTCAGTCACCTGTGTACTGTGCGACATCGAAGTAATGACTGAAATACCACACTCTCTCCCATTCACACGCCCAAACACCCCCCTCGCCCACCTTGTCTACGCTCACTGACCTCAACTCCCGTGATCTTGCTATGCCAATAATTGCCAAACAAGTGCACAAACTGTTGGAGACTATTCAATGGTCCTATGGATCCACCACCATCCTTCCATGCATCCATATATGTCAAGAAGATGCCGACACAGTCTCCCTGTTTGCGTTGCTTCCAGAGTCCCTCCCTGAAATGTCAAAACATGTCATCCACTTATGCTGTAATATTGCAAGTCAGCACACCCAGCCTCACAACCCTCAATCTGGACTACCTTGAAGATCATGGCATGTCAGACCTAATGTGTGTCATGGTACATGGTGAGTCTTATCAAATCTTTAATCTTCTTACTTTTTTTTGATACTGTACCAGACACCAAACAATGGTCAAAGGATTTCACATATCCTCCCCAGCATGCTACCCTTAAACAATTCATGAACAATATACACCACACTAACCAGATCCAGTTATCCTCGATGTCCCATATTCTCAAAGTGGTCTCCCTTTGTTTCTGAGGTGAGTAATCAAATACTAACACCTCACAACGCTAATCATTCTATCCTCAGCACTCTTGACAACAGCGTCATCAACGGATGGAACCAATCCACTGTCAATAATCCCATCTATGAAACAGTCCACCCGGACAATTTCACAGTATGTTCATGGGCTCTGCTCCATGGGCCCGCCTTCTGGACCAATGCCCATCACGACTCTAATGGGGGCACAACTTTTGTCCAAGTCAAAATTGATGAGAAGAAATGGGGCCTCTTTGGTCCGATTCAAGAGGACACGGTTTCCTGGACCAACCCTCAGCTCAAGGCCTGTACCGCCAAATGAAGCAAGTTGCTTAGAGTTGCACCAACATTGATGGTTGAGCTTTCTGTGACTGAAATTATATTATGTAATCTGTCACGTCATGGACTACCCATAGTATCTCTCCGAGAGGTTTCTCTGGAATTGCTTTTCTGATTGAAACTTGGGTCGCAGAGTAACATATTGAATAGATTTTTAAGGGTACAAGTACATGGATGGTGCCGAAAAATATCTAAAGTGGCAATATGGGGTGCCGAAGTGTTGCAATGGGAACTGAATGGGCCGCTTCTAGAGGCTCCTGAGTGACCAAAGATGATCAGGACTAGAGTCCAGAGTAAGTTGCCAATGTATTCAAGTATAGTAAAGGTATACAGTACCTAGAGTCCAGAGTAAGTTGCCAAAGAGGCAGGGAGCACTGGACTCTGGGATATGGGCGATGTATGGTAAACAAATGTAAACAGACAAGCCATAACACAAAGGTAAGG